ATAAATTTATTATAATAATAAATTTATTATAAATAAATTTATTTATTATATTTTAAAATAATTAAATAAAAAAATAAAATATAATAAATGTATGATATTTTTCATTTTTATGTACGTGATACTAAACGTAAATACAAGTTTTAAAAGAAATTCGCTCAATATATTCTTAATGTTATCGCAAAAGACGTAATATAATTATTATATTGAAAAATATTTTCGCGTGATACTGAAGGAAAAGTTCTTTGCAAACACGCAGTGATAGAATTTAATAAATTATTTTATTCTCCCACAAAGTAAGGTTTTACTCAGAAACACATGGTCATATATCCTTCGCTATATATTCTAAAAACATGCATTAGAAAGCGTGGTCTATCAAAAATCCGGTATATTTGAATTTGGTATATATAATTTCGGATGCAGCATTACACCATTCTGCTTCACGAATATGACTTCTCCGGATGTTAGTTCTCCATTAAATGTACAAGAGTGGCACTAATGCAATCTGCAGAATTCCATTATCCGGGGTGCTAGAACAAGATTTAATTTACTGAGTCTGGACGGCAACTTAAGAATTCTTTCTTTAAATAAATAATTTTAAGAATAGTTAAGTAACAAAAAANATGGTAGAACGTTTACATGAAATATGCATCGTAATGTTTCTTTACATTGTAATTTATTGTTGCGAAAAATATATTTAAAAAGTGGCATTCTTCTAATTTTTTTTTCACAACAAAAATGAAGAAATATCTTTTTTATATAAATTATTCGATGCGGAGTTATTTCGAGTTTACAACATTCAATTTTTCTGTGTAAACTACACACCATACGAGAAGATAATATGCTTCAGATATTCCCTTCACTAAATGGCACTAAATTTTTTCATATACCAAACATAAATTAATAATTTTTAACTGCAACCCATGGTTCCTTTTTTATATTAGGGTACATATTTTCATAAAAATATTTCTTTATTTAAGTGCTTCGAGAAGATCATAACGTGTTACTTATTGAATTTTATATTGCATTATCCATTCGACTCGAAAAGTACCAGATATATATATTATTTAGATGGATACATCAATAGATAAATTTAATTTTTTCCATGGTAAAAATTTAAATATGAAAAAAATAATTTAAAATTTGAATTTATATTCGCATTAAATTTTGATAATTGTGCTAAAAATATTTTTCCGAATTTTTTTATAGTAATTTTATCTATCATAAAACTTATTTTAATGTTTGGATTATAAGAGGACAATCGAAATTTTAATTTAAAAAAAATCGAAGCGAAACAATTTCAAAAGATTAAATTTACATTTATTTTTTTAAAAAGTAAATCCATTTATTCAATAAGTCAGATTTTTCTAAAAAAATTTCTTCACAAAAATGGCGAACATCGTGACATTTGATAACATAAAGTTCATTTTTCTCAATTCCCTTTTCTTCAATTTGTGAAGATCGGAATGAATTTTCTTTTTGGATGATTTTCTTTGAAAGTAATGCTTAGCTTCTCTGTAACATTGGATTGGAAGATTTCCCTTAGGATACACACCAAACAAAGGTCAAAAATTTACCAGAAGATAGAATTCTCACATAAAAAGATGAATATTAGGAGTTTGGATTTGTATCTAATTTCCTTTTATTTTCCATTATTTGCCTGTATTATTTTTCATTAAATTTTTTAAAAATGATTTCTTTGTTGCTACTTATCTGTTGTTAATAATGTTATCCATAAATTGAAATAGTGATTAACCTATTATCAATTTTAATAATAGAAATCATTTAGAACATATTCCTTAAAGAATAATAAATATTATCTTATACTTTTAGAATTTTAAACGGTTGTATGGAGTTTTCGAATTCATATTTATTAAAATTATGTGCATTAGAATGATTGGATAAGGAACGCAACTGCCAAGAATGGTGTTCCTCCCAGGAGGACTTTCATGGAAACGGGCCCTATTTAGCTGTTACACTCGTAAAGGAAACAAAAGATTTCTATGTGGTCAATCCATTGCCCAGGAGCGAACCCGTGGCCAACTAGTGCCCAGTCGTTTTATCCATTTGGCCACTGGTGGGCAAAGTCAAATTGTAATTATATGTCATAGGATATAATATGTATATAACATATGACCAATATTACATTATGATTATAAGATAAAAAGTATGTATTGTTGTGAATGCAATCTATGACAATGCAAAGCTTTTCGCCATAAGAATTTAACCATCAGATAGACAATATCGGATCCAGAAATCTTTAGAAGGTGAGTTCTAATCAAATTTGATTGGTCTATTTCAAATAAATAATGAAGTTCGTGTTATAGATATTTACAGTATAAAATACATAGTTGTTATATTTATTGTTTTTATGAAACGTCTTTCAGACGTTTTATAAAATTTTCTTTTAGAGAAAATGAAGAAAATAGCATTACGTACACAAAATAGAAATGAGTTATACTGCAGTTATCTTAACAACTGAATTTAAAATTTGTCATAATTCTTGTATTTTATACCAAAATGATGCATTTTAATTAAATTCGTTTTAAAATCAAAAAGATAATTAACTGTACGCACATTTTATAAATATTGATGTTATGCATCTTGTCTGCTAACAATTCTGATCATAAAATAAACATATCTTTAGGACTTAGAAACAGAAATTAAAGAAACTACAACTTGCTTCGATTGAGGTGCATCTTTAATATGGTTGCTATTAGAATATATTTATAGAACCTTGAATGAGATTTTTCTTCAATATTTGAGCTTAGATACATTGTTAATTCGTACTATATTTGTTTATCAAATTAATGACGAAATTTATTTACTATCCAATTATCACATATGCAAAAATTTAAAATTTGATAATAATAACAACTGTAATAGATTAAAACATTTGATACATTTGTGTAAAAATGTTTAAAGTATAAAAAAAGTATTTTCAGTAAATAACTGTAATTAATAAATGAGTAAATCGTTTAATTAAATAAACGAACATTAAAAATTATATAAATTATTACAATTCTTTAAAGTTTATATTAAACTAAGCGCAGAGATTTTTATTTAAACTTTACAACTTCTCAAGATTACGGTGTATTTTTTTAATTTTTCAAGCAAATAAAAATTCTCTAACGTCACTTATACATCTAAACTAATCTTTTATTCCATGTGCTTCTGCTTGTAAAAATATTTTTCCTACTTTGATCTGTTTGATATCATCTTTCTCGCTGCTGCATCACATCTCAAAGAATGTACAACAAAGAGGATCCGGAAAAATTTATCTAGGATCGTATAGCATCGTTATTTCTGTTTATTATCAAACTTAAAACGTAAGAAAACATATTTTTGTATGCAGATATCTACTTAAAATCGGAACAGAAAGGATTTTTGAAAACGTAAACAGAATTAGAATATCAATTTTAAGAGAAAATAATTATATTGCTATATTTGTTGAAAATTTAAAAAACTCTTTTTAATAGATTTTTCTAGTAGATTTTGTGAGATGTTTAAATATATCATATACATCAACGTTTTAAATTAATATAAATTGTTAGAGTTACATCGAATCGATTAGTAAAGATCGATAACAGTTCATAGAGAAATTATTTTTCATAACGTAGAGTTTGGAAATTTTTGTGCGAAAATATATAAAAAAAATTTACAACATTTTTTTTAATAATTATTATGCAATAGGAGATGATATTTTAGTTCGATAAATGCCTACTAAGGTTACAGAAAATGGATCGGGTCATTTAAGACTCGCAAGCTTTATCATTCCCAAGAGTATCCTCACTTTTCTCCAGTTCCGTACGCTTCTAGAATATTTAGCGAATCTGAGTAAGTAATCAGGAAATATTCTTAGCGATTAACTATTTTTAACACGAGAAAATTGTTCAAAATTCGATTAAAAATCGTGTTAATTTATTCAATAAAATATCCTTTATACTTGTAATTGAATTTATTCGTGCGTTAACAAATTAAGAACCGCTTCTATCTTAAATATTATAATTATTAGCTCGAGTTATTTATAATTTCATGATATTAATTTTGCAAATGCTAAATTAATGTGGTACTGATCGAATCTCTATACTTTTCTAACTAGATTCAAAACTTGATCACATTAATTGGACAGGAATAAGAATCGATCAAAGTAACAGATTAATCAAAAAAGAAAGTTACTTATAAGCTAATTTCATGATACGAATAGAAATATTACATCGTCTATTTTGGCTATAACAATTCAATATTTATTCTTTTAGTTATAATAATAGTTATAATAGTTTAAAATTTTATTTTCAAGCAAAACTTATAAAAAAATAAAGAAGTTTCTAACTTGATAATATTTTATTACACATTTTTATACTTTTAAATTATTTGTATAGGTTTATACAAGAAAAATGATAAGTTTTCGTTTTATTTTTTTAATTTATTATTTTTTTATTTTTTAGTGCAAAAACAATCTTTGTTTTAAGTTAAATGATAAATGATCGGCTAAAATTTTCTTCTTAAAGTTAAATTTTGATAATTAATTATTGAGTAAATAAAAGTATCTAAAGATTAATCTGAATGTTTCAAAATATACCAGAATATAATAATAATTTCTTCATTTTTTATATCCTTGCAGGCATAACTCTTTCGTCATTACAGAAGTACAAACTTTTATTTAAATTTAATGTATATATATATATATACATATANGCTGTAGCGCTAGTTATAAAGTACAGTTATCGGACGAAGACTATTATCTGGCAGTTTTCAATGGAACTTATACAGCTTTCGAAAGATATACATGGTGGATAGAAGCTTGTTTTTTTGTGCGCTGCGATTCCTATAAAGGGAAGGCGTGTTCCACCTTTCCTACAAAAGCTAGCACTGTCTTTGAAGAGCTTAAAATCGAAGCTAATTTCACTACTCCATATGTCTATCCCAGTATTTCTATTAGCGGCCTACAACTAGCTCCGAAAAAGAATTGGGTTTACAAGAACCATAAATTACATTTCAAAACAGAATCTGACAGCCTCTTACTTGCTACTTTATTCGGAAGATCTTACGATAGAGATCCGAAGTAATTTTCTAAATTTTATGATCTGTTGTTTATATGTATAATTTAGAAATATTTTTTACTATTGTTTTATTTTATGATAAATGCAAAACTAAAAATTAGTTTGCCATTACAATAAAGTTCTGTTGTGAAATCTTAAAATAGAATTATTACTAGAGGAATCACTATGTATCACTATTTTAAAATTTTATTATTAAAAAATGGCAAAATATTATATCATACTTTAAAATATTCATATGAATTAACTTCTCAAAGCAATTACGTTGTGTTTTTGGATGGGCAAAAATAATGTATCTATAAATAATTAAATTATAATGAAAACAGGAGCTCTGTAGTAAGATACAGAGCTAAATATAATTCTATCAACTTAATAAATATCAAATCAGTTGGAAGAATTGCTGAAGATATCCGAATTCAAGTTTAAGAAAGATTACGCACTTAAAATATAAAAGAAATCATCCAAACGATACTTTCTAGCACTTTTCTTTTGTATCGACGGTACAACTTCAATCAATATTTATGTAGATTACCAGATTGATATAAGTAACGTTCCTATAAAAATTGGATTTATAATAATAATATTTGACTGGTATATTTACCAGAACTTTGTTAGAATAATTATAGATAATATTAATTTAAAATTATTACATTTAATCAATTTTCTATGGTATGGAAATCATACAAAATAATCGAAATAGAAACTATAAAATATTCTTAATTTTATTAGTTTCGAAAACTTGTAATTTTATGATATTTATTAAAAGTATTTCATGCAAATTAATAATAAAATATAAGAATAAAAGTAGTTTTTGGAGATGATAACGCGATGATGATCGTGGCTAATAAGTTCAATATTTTGAAAAGATTTTGATGATGATTTAAGAAAAAAATTCGTAGTTTCTTTGTATATATTATACTGTTTCCACTTCGATTATATTATTTATGATACAAATTAGAACTTACTTCCATAGTTAGGCCTCACTCTCCTGTCGTATCCTTGTTGAAAAAATGCGTCGAGGATACGGCTGATGTGGTCGCTATAAATGAAATTTTTTAGTATTAGTCAATAGTTTTTCAACAGAATTTTTTTTTATTATAAGAATAAACGAAGTCATTAACAATATACTTTTAAAGACTGTAACCTAATAGCTTTATCGTGTTACAAATAGTAGATGTTATCGTGTATCCTAGAGCAAAGTAAATTATCTAATGAAAAATACATGGCACCCCTATAGTATAGTTTATCACATTTTAGTCGAAAAGGTTATCACCCGAAGTTAAATACTGTTACGCTATACGTAATTTTGCCACATTGTTTTGATTCAATGGCATCGACAAAGTTGTATTAGTCTCATAAGAAAACTTGATAATCTCATTTATAAAATTGGTGATTATCCAAATATAATTTCATTCAGAATAACACTTTACGTTTGCATTATAATTAATTCATTTAAAACGTTGTATTGGGTTATAATTGAAATTAATTAGTAAAATAATAAAAAATTTAGAATAAAGATCAATATTTTCTTTGAATTAATAGAAGTAAATACATTTCTACAGTTTAATTAATGGTTTTGGTAGTTCAGAATTTTGTACAATGAAGCAGAATTTGAAATTACCAAAATCAAATAAAAATCATATTAATAAAATACTTAAAACTCCGATTTTATTAAAAAAATTATATAATTTAAAGACTTTTTACACATTGAGCATCATGAATTTATATTACTAGAATATATTATATTTTTAGGGCTATCTTTAGTGTAAACTTTAACATATTTACTTTTAGTTTAATTTCTCTTAAATGTATGCAGATTTATGTATAAAAAGTTAAATATTTTTTAAAATATATACTTGTTCTCGAATAAGAATTTTTATATTCACTTTATTTATGCAAATAAAATATTTGAATAAATATCAAGTTGAATATTTACACTGTAAGATAGTGGAGTGATTATTTAGGCATGTACTAATTCACTTTCTTAATATTTTAATAATATTTAACATCTCTCCTCTTAATATTTATCCTCTTATAAAAAATTTATTTAATGAAGAATATTGAATATATATTATATATACAGTGAAATATTATAAACAATTTTTTTATAATATTTAATGTAAAACCTGAAAATTATTATAAAAGTTACTGCAAATTATATACTGTATTATCCATATCAGATGAACTTCAGATGAACTGTGTAAGATTAACTGCTAATAGTAGAATCGATTTAGCACAATCTCTACAACAGATTTTTTCTTTTTTAATTTATGGGCGAAAAATATTTAGAATAGTTATTATACTTTTATGCAGAAGGAAGCAACTTTCAATTGAAAAAAAATATGTTTAAAATTCTTGCATAATCAAATTTTCTTACAAAATTATTTTTGCATTTTATATTCACTGTTCCGAGAATGTTATGTCGATTATAAATAATCGATCTTAGACAATATTTTTCTCGATATCGTCATTCTTAAGTCGATAAATATAAAAGTGAGTAAATATTTATATGCATAAAATAGAATTTTTTATCTATTAAATTTCATATATCTGCTATCAAATTTTTAATTTTTTTATCTGTATAGCAACTGTTAACCTATTAATTTTTCAAAGCTTCACTATACACATCTAATTAACTTATTGATTTTTGAATAGTGTTTACTGTTATTGAGTTTACTTAATGAGAATATTCTCAATAATTTTGCCATTTTTTAAATGATATAGAATATAATCTGTTTGAAGAGTGTGCAATGATATTTTCTAGTAATTGTTTGTAGCTTAATTGATTTAATGTAAAAAAGAAATAAAGAACGTAAAGCATTATGAGTAAAATTAAAAACTGGTTACTTTTTGCTATTTATTGATTATTTATAATGAATGCTAACTTTAATTTTTATATATAAATTAAACAATAAAATACATAACATTTTGAATATTTTTATTCGATTTTAGAGTACGCCTGCGAAATTTCAATCGAATGCACTAACGAGCGAATTTTTATATTTCTATCAACAGAACATATTTTGCAATGCGATGAAAGCCACCGAACGAGGAAATTGTTAACTATGGATAAAATGGAGTTAAACGTTAGAAATGATATGAATTTTCTTAGAAGCGTCAATTACAAGCCTTAAAAGCCTGAAGAGAAAAAAATAATGTACTCACCCTAACGCTTCGCCGGCTCCTTCCCTTACCCACAACATCGGAACGAGCACGGCGAAGAAGGTCACAATAAACCACAGTCGTCCTATGTCCTCCATCTCTAATTCGCCATGGAAGGCTAAACAGAGATTATGGTATAATGATTCCTCACGAAGAACACTGTTGAGAGAGAGAGAGAGAGAGAGTGTGTGTGTATGGCTGTGAGAGAGCGAGAGAGGAGGAGGCTGTACGATAGCTATCCTCCGTCTTCACTCTCTACTGTCACCTGATCTTCGTCCGGCACGGCTGTCCGGGTGACAGGGACGGGCTAAGGTACACTCTAGACCTTCACAATGTCGCCAGATCGGTGTGATCTGACGGGGGGCGACCAATATCCCTTCGCCCGAAACAGAATCGATCCTTCCTCTGTTGTCTAACTTGCTGAACTGAACTCCAATCTCGCAACCAGGCGCTCGGCCCGTTTTGTCCGTTTACCCGCGAACCCAAAAATAATCGATACGACCACTGCGCATCACTACCGAGCACCTGCTGCATTGGTTTTGGTACGGGGAAGATCTTAACGTGGAAGAACCATCGACGTAAATGCGCGATTTCGATCAACACCACCTTCCGTCGAGTATCTAAAATATAATCGCTCTTCTTTTCTTAGCCGACGAAATTAATACTTAATTGGAGATAATATATTTAAAAAAAAGAATTTAAACAAATTTTCACGTAATTATAGCCCCACGAATGACGTAGTTAACTGCTTTGACGTAATTTCGACTTGAGGTAGCGGATTGGTCGGTGGTTTTCTATTTCCGTCGACTGTTAGATTGAATTCTCTGGGGATACGGCACACCATCGGCGATGAAATGCAGTGGCACTCGCCACGACTTTTCTCTCGATTTTATAATTAATTGTTTTTAGAATGCCGAAAATTTTCTAATTTATTGGACTCGGTTTTCAAAGACTAAAAAATAATCAATTATTTACTTTCAGATAAGAATCGACTCGGTTTGTTCGACTATCGGAAATCTTACACTAGATCGTTTCTGTTAAATTTCAGCTAAATGAATTGGTTTTACAGTAGGATTCACACAGCCTGGCTAAAAATAAAGCAGAAGAAAACGTTGGCAGAAAATTGTTTACAGAATCTCTAATAGAGACAATTATATTACTGAAACAATCAACTTCTTCTTTAACCTCTTCTCCATTATATTCACTCTTAAATATTAAATTATAATGTATTCTTATATAAAGAAAATCAAGCTTAAAGAAGATTGATAATGAAATCAATTTTTCTATAAAATTATATATGTATTTTAAAGAACTTCAATGGGAATTCTATAACAAATTTTCATCTTAAATTTTACTTAATTTCTAAATTTCGAAAATATTTATTAAGAATAATTTGTTGTTACGTAGCTATCGTTTCGTTTAAGGTATTATTAAATTCAATTTTTCATTACCTCATCATAAAATATTTCTAAATTGCTTTAATTCGTAGCTATAATGAAACGTCAGATTAGTAGATTGATTATTTCAATTCATAGCTGGCGTATCGTTACAAATTTTTTTTACTCTGTACAAACATTTTATTAATCAGCAAAAATTATTAATAAAACGAAATAAATTACTCAATATTCATCGATAAATACTGCAAAATATTTACAAATATAATTCCTAGTTCATGAAAATGGGGTTTTTCCTTCCCTCTACTTAATCTTTTATAATTAATTTATGAATATTTTCAATTTTATTTTAAATAAACTAATTACTTATTTTATAAGGCTTTAAAAATTATTTATAAATCTATCCACCACACTTAAAATAAATTAAATTTATATATGTATAAAATTTCTATTAATTCTCAATTGAGATAATGTAATTATTAAAATTAAAATTTCAAAAATTTGATAAGTGAGAAAAATATAAATTATTTCATATTTTGATTATTTAATTTAATTTTAAATAATTTTATTTTTGAGTATATAAACGTAGTAGAATAATGATTAACATAATTACATTTAAAATTCTTTTATTTATTACGTAATAATTATTGTTAGACTATTAAATTAAGTGAATACATGGTGATGAATGTGGCGAATAGTTTAAAGAATATTAGCTTAGTTTACAAATTGTCAATTCATTGCTTCTACGCCTATTTTAAGCGTGATACGTTTAGAATTTTGAATAGTTTATGGTACAAGTAATTTGAATGAACAAATTGAACAATTGTTTTAACGTTCTGTCACCAAAATTAAAATGATTTTTTTATCATTTTTTTCCAAAAGAAACTTTAAAATTCATTGAACAAATAGCTACTTTTATTAAATTTGCATTCTTAAGTAGGATAGCAACGGTTTCTGTTTTCTTCCAAACTCAAGGCCGTAGTAGAAAATACACGAAACGTGAAGCATAAATTATATATTTTAAAATCAAACAAATACTGTATTTATATATGATTTGAATGTATTATTAAAGTAGTTTTTAAAACTTTTTTGATTCTTTAATGTGATACATACTAAATATATTAATTTATTTATATTCAGGTCAAAATTAAAATTGCATGCGAATTTACAATTTAATTATGATAGAAACAAGAAAATGTAGAAGAATTATAAGTTTTGCTATTGAAAAAAAAACTCAAATAAATAAGTAAAAATTCATGTGAATAGGAAGTAGGCCATTCGGGAAATTCTCTTGTTTCATTTTTTATTTAATTTTTTATGAAATTAGATAAATCAAAAATATACATTAAAATACTGTATATTTATTAAAATTATAATACACAAATTAGTGAAGATAACGAGACAAAAATTACATAAAATGTCTTAATATTATTTAAATTAATTCAAAACACTTCTAAGTTAGTCATTAGATAAATGTAAATACCCGTTTCATGATCAGGTGAATTCTTATCTAAAAATTTCATTTAAATATATTCAAACTTCTAAAATATAAAGAATCAAAACAACATGGAGGGCAACAAACATAACTTATTCTAAAATCTGAAACTGCTTGAGCAATACACATTAAACTTAAATTCGTACAGACAACCAGACAGGAACTGAAGGCGAGAGTTTCCTCAAACACTTAAAATTCTATAAATATCATCAGATGTTATGTTTGCAAATTTGTTAATTAATGTAAGTAATCTCACGTCGAAAGTTATTTGCCTTATAAAATTGCTTGATATACTTTTAGATAAGTTACAGATTTCAATAGCCATAGAAAAAATAAATAAATAATAACTTCATAAGTTTATNAAATTAATTCTTTATCAAGCGAAATTTTAAGTTTCTTATCGCATCTATCTTACCTAAACAAAATTCAGTCAGATAGCAGATATTGATCTGTGAAGATTCGAGCTGAAAACAAATAGCTTTTTCAATAAGATGCGTCAGTCACTTCCATTCTAGAGTAAGCTGATGATTCTCAAAGATTTCAGTCATCACCATTTCATATCTAACATCGACTAATAATTTCGATAAGCATGGGTGAATAACATGAAACAATGCTTCACTAAAGAATTTCGATACACTTCTGTTAATGATGTTCTAGTAATATTTAAAGAAAATATGGAATAAAATGAAAGTAAAACGTTATTTCTGTAGACACAAAATATACTTACGTTAAAAATAATGTAAAATATTATATATAAAAGATTATGTTTTTTAAAAATAAGTTGGAGCTTTAAAGATTTCTTTTTTTAAACAGAGTTTTAAACAGAGAAATTTAAAATTGTTCTATTTGATAATTATATTTTGTTTGATTTAACGTTAGCGAATACATCAAATCTGATGCTTTCTTTTTATTAAAGTGGTCTATTTAGTCTGTTTAAGGAACAAGAAACGAGAAATGGCAGGGTCATAGAGAAAGAGAGATGGCTTAACGCGTGGCTTCAATCTAGCATTATAGTAGCGGTGACAAAATTTTATCCAGATTGATAACAGTGGAGTTTAAGGATTTTTTCCCCCCTTCTTCTTCTTTCTTCTACGAGTCGAAGAGATTCAAGATGATTCTTTAAACAAACTTCAACATTGCTGAAAAGTCGTGTTGCAAACTTAACTCACTTAACGCCTTTTTGTCTGTCTAAATTCGAGAAAGAATGTTTTCTTATTCGGTTCCATCCTCTTCACATTCCTTGACATTCCCTCGAGTTTACTTCTCGTCTTGCTTTTCGATTTCTTTCCAGGCATGCGTGGTTTGTAGAGGGTCGATATTGATTGGCACTTTATTCGGCTCTGCCATCGATAAACTGTACAGATCGCAAGAACTGTGGCTGAGAAATAGTTTCTTCGATTTAGTAAAGGGTCAGAATTTTCTATTCTCTTCATACTTTCTAAAAATAAAACAAGAGAAAATATCAAAAAACATCATTCTGTACTAAAAATTCGATGTTAAATTTATAAAAAAAACTCATTTAAAATATTTATATTCAAGTATACACTGCATATCGCAGTTGAAACTGAACTGTAGAATCAACTTAAAATCGAAACAACTGAAAATGCAAAATTTTATTTAATTTTTAAATATTGTGTAGTTATTTATGTGTATGATGTAAGTTTAGAATGATTGATAGTATGTTAATTAAGATAATAATGAAGATTTTTAGACTATCAATAAACTGTATTTTAATAATTTCGTATTTACTTTAGAGAAATTTTAATTTAAAAGTAGTGATCCCACTAAAATCAATCAAAAAATTGTTTTTTTTTTCCTTAAACGTTTTTAGTCCATTAGTTCATAATAAATACATTGATCCTCTTAACGATCATTGAAAAGAATAAGATGATTTCGAGTGAAAGAAAAAGTATATTTTTAGTAATTCATTGTAAGTGGATCTATCTATATATAATATTTTAGTTTGGATAAAGTATTAAACAATATATAATCTTACAAATATTAAATTTATATTTTCCTGTATCTTGTGACAGGCAATACATTGAACAAACTACTTTACAATGATGTGATCTCTCCCGAAACATAACACGAAGCGACTAGATTTATTATAAATTATGCATAAATTTTATTTAAGTATCTATTTTATAAATATTAGAAAAATATTCAAAATTTTAAAGTTTTCTCTCAATTGTATTTTCAAAAATACCATATATATATATTTTTTTTTTTCTCTAAGTGATATCATTTCTTAATGTCTAAATTAAGAAAATGAATATTTCATGACAAGATTTTTTATATAGAAATTAAATTACTGTGTTATTAGATTCTGTTAGAATGCATTTAGCATTTTTTTAGAAAACAAAATTGCATGTTTTACCAGTTTAAAACTTTTTTATTTCTATAAAATATCATTTTAGCATTATTCTTAAAGGAAATTACACTGTAAAGTTGAAAGTAAAATAAATAAACTTAACAGAAAGAAGTGCGAACTAAAATTTTGTAGAAATTCTTATACATTTGTTTAAATTTATTAAACAAAACAAAATTAATTGTGTTCCTATATAAATTTTCAACATTTTATTGACGTTCGTTTGCCATTTCCTCGTAAGACGAGAACAGACTTCGAACATAATTAAAAAATTTTAATAGAAAAATCTGAAA